GGCTAGCGGTAGGTCTTAGGATTTATAACGCTAAAATCCATGGTTCGATTCCTCTCGGTGAACACAGCAGATAGCCCTATGTGGCTTTGCTATAAGAAACACACACACATTTATTTAAAAAATGGTAATTCAGGACCCCTAACAATTAACGTAGTGTTGAACTGGCGTACAACCTGGACTGAATTTACCATTTTCAAAATTAAAAGTATAGAAAAATTAACAATTCGCATTCTTTCTGCAATTGACCAGTCACAAAACTGGATTGTAAGAATCCATAAGTAACTCTGATATGACAGTCGTAAAGCAATCTTGTGAAAATGAGGTAATGCAGTACACTACACAACTAACGTAGTGTTGAACTGGCGTACAACTTGGACTGAATTTATCATTTTCAAAATTATAAGTAAAGAAAAACTAACAAAAATACGAATATAAGTTAAATGATAGAGAAGAATAAGAGATAATAAATGAAAAAAAAGGCAACAAGTAATTCACCGGTTTAATACTTCTGAGTATTCTAGAAAAGTTTCTTTTATTCATATACTTATTTTGGTTTTCCTTTATAAGCGAGTGTTGAACATTTTGAGTTGGTATTAAATCAAAATCAGCTTGAGGACAAGTCTAAGATGACGTAAAAGAGACTGGGGTAAGTAAGTGTGACATATAATATCATTATAACTGTTTCAAATATTCATACTCAATTACATGGGATAACCTGAACTGGAAGTACACATCATTTTGTCCACAAAAGAAGCAAAAAATTGCCATTCACAATGAAGCCAGAAGTTTTAAAGAAAACACTATAAATTGATACATTGTTATTTTAAAATAATAATTTTGATAAAAAAATTAAATGTAAGACTTGTTTGATAAAAAATATATAAAATATCAATTCATCTTCAAAATATAAAAAACGTAATTATGACCAGAGACCACTTCATATTCATCAGCGAACCAGCAATCTTCCACTGAACTATCAAGTCATTGTTTTTATTATGTTTCTATTATAATGGTTCTACTATTCTATGCTTTAACATCCATTCTATTTCAATATCTCTGATGTGCAAGGAAAATGTTATTGCAGGTCATTTATAAAATGAACATCACCTCTGCCTCTGTGATGAAGTTTTGCTGTCGTTCTACCAAGATAGCCAATCTAGTATTTTGGCAGATTCTAATAGCAATTGACTCAGTATAGTTCACTGCTCTACTTTGAATATTTTTGCATAATTTTCGATAAGCAACATCAGATGTTTTGGTAGTGTACTGACATATCCTTAACTATAAGGTTAGTTTCAGTCACTCCTTTGTCTCTAACTATAGATTTATTGGGGATCCCACTTTCAGGCTTTGAACACTGCTCATGGACATATCTGTCCTTTAACAAGTCTTGAGCTTATTTCCATTATAAAGAATGATGTCAGTATTAACTGGCAAAAGTAATGGTTTTGGTAGAAGTACATGTTACATCCTAAGGTCAAACAAAGTTATGGCAACTCCAGTGTTCACAAAGAAACCAACCTCATATCTATATGTTCCTTAAGGCATTTGCCAAGCTTTGCCTAATCATGTAGATACTGAGACATTTTCAGACACAAGTTGACAATTACTTCCATCTCCCTAATTAGTGGTCAAATCCAACATGAAACCTACTAATTTAATGGATCTGAAACATTAGTAACTTTAGTTTGTTCTCAATCCTTCTGCAATTGTTTGACAGTCGATCCAAAGGTAACAAGATGTCCTACAACAAAATAGGAGCAATTGAAATACGTACCCCATCCTTGTTGAGACTACCATCTCAGAAGCCCCCCAGTGGCACAGCGGTATGTCTGCGGACTTACAACGCTAGAAACCGGGTTTCGATACACGTGGTGGGCAGAGCACAGATAGCCCTTGTGTAGCTTTGTGCATAATTAAAAACAAACAAACCATCTCAGAAACATTTTCTAAGGGGATTGTACAGCAGCAACATTTGTGTTCCTATTTCCCGAAAACTTTGAATCGTGTTGCCTTGGAAATAACGTCATGGCCATAACACCCATGTGGTACCACATGAGCTAATTTGGCAGGCTCTTCACGAACATATCAATGAGAATTTACTCATGATTTACATTTGCCATTCTTGTATATGTTAGCCTTTGTAAACAACCCAACGCACTGCTGTATGCAACCAAGTTTTTGTGAGGACCCCATTTTCAGAAATTGAACTCTGTTCATGGATGTCCCTGTTCTCTACGAGGCTCAAATCCTGGCACCACTCAGCATGACTGGATTCTAATCTTCTGACAAATACTTTACTGTTCAAAGTCAGCAACAGACACTGAATCTCCTACCCTTTATGGTCTTGCAGAATTATTTGTTTTACCTCATTGATCTGCAGTAACGAGATCAACAGTCCGCCGTTACTACCTCCACTGATCAGTGACTGAACTGATAAGATCACCAAAAATATCAATACTTCACGCCAAGCAATCCTAGCATTTTTACCATAAATCAACTCTTTTTCTGGATTCTGTGGTGCAATGTTTTGTAAAAACATACATCTTACCAGACAGCTCTACAATGCGAGCTCAGAGCAAATCTATGGTGGTTCAACAGCGCATTTCTCTTCATAAAGATAAAACATACATCTTACCAGACAGCTCTACATGCGAGCTCAGAGCAAATCTATGGTGGTTCAACAGCGCATTTCTCTTCATAAAGATAAAAACATACATCTTACCAGACAGCTCTACATTGCGAGCTCAGAGCAAATCTATGGTGGTTCAACAGCGCATTTCTCTTCATAAAGATAAAAACATACATCTTACCAGACAGCTCTACATTGCGAGCTCAGAGCAAATCTATGGTGGTTCAACAGCGCATTTCTCTTCATAAGGAGTTTCATGACTGAATGTTTGCGTCCAAGGATAGTATCAGTGGAGTTCGAGACTAGATGTATATTTTAAATAAGAATGTGTATCAAAGAATTGTGAAAACGATTATATTAATAAAAATATATGCTTATTCTATGCCATAAAGAGGTTTTGCTTATTATATCTGTAAATCACCCTACATTGAAAGTGAGAATCATTTATATTAAAAGTACCAAGAAAGATCTATTCCACAACTGTCTTAGATATTATTTAAATATTTGTATTGTTGAAGAGCTTTTTTAAAAGTAGTAAAATGGCAGAATTCACTCATACCTTTATTTGGTAAGGATAGACACTAGTCAGGGGTTATATATACATATGTATATAAACATACAGAAGAAAGATGTTATAGAAGAATGACAGAATCCACTCATACCTTTATTTGGTAAGGATAGACACTAGTCAGGGGTTATATATACATATGTATATAAACATACAGAAGAAAGATGTTATAGAAAAATGACAGAATCCACTCAAGATATACGAATTTATAAGTACATTTATTTATATATATATCTTCGATCTTTTTCCTCTTGATTGAACAAAATCAGATATTGATTTAAGAGTGAATTAAGTAGATAATATGTAATAACATTTGAGTTAGTATATACCGCAGAAATGTCAAAATAGGTAGTTAACAAGCTTTTTCCACACCATACAGATAACAGTTGAAAAATATATATTCTCGAACTCCAAAACCACATTATATTTTCTCTTTTCTCATTCTCCTGGTATTTAATAATAATATCGCATACTCATCTTTCATCAATTATCTAATGAAATTTAAGTACACAAATAAAAATACATACCTTGTTCGAAATGAGATGTAACTTAGGACTTCCACAAAATTGTTACGAGTTTGTATTATAGTAAACATGCAATAGTTAACATGGAGAAAGGTTAAAATTAAAATGCAATTACTAACCCTAGTTGATTGCAATAGACTCTCGCTTAGTAAGTTAAGAAGTAGGACCAGCACACAACTTTTGGTCTGTTTGGGAAAAAATAGAGAGAGGGAGAGAGAAAAGCACCAAAAACGCCTACATAAATGTTTTACGGTAATCTACACAAGTAATGATTTTTTTATTTAACTAATTGCATGCTGTGTTCGCCCTTCCAGACAGTAGCTCCAGAGAATATCACCTTGCCAGAAAATAATAATACTGAAACTAAAAATTCATAATGTCTCATTTTTAACACCTAGCATTTCCTAGAATGACGAACAATTAGTTTTGGCGTGGATACGTGTGTAAAATAAATCTCTTGAGTACAAGAATATTATATACAAAGTATGTGACAAGACTACTAGTTTTTAGCATGATTATCTGTGTTAAAACGTTAATAATAAATTGTATCGATACGATTATTTCTGTAACCATAAGTATCAAAGAATCGAAGATCCAGGGATGGTTGAAATGTGTTCCCTGTTTACCATGACATTTCTTGATATTGCACCACCACCACCCTCCTTCAATTACAAGTATCACCGATTTTATAGCATATGTACTCACTATCTATCCCCATTAATAAACTAATTCAAAATACAGATATAATCAAAATATATTCAATATTTCAATAACTGTGGGCTTACTAGCTCACCTTTATAATCTACCCGATGAATACTTTCCTAAAGTACGAGTTCGTATTGAGCAAAAAGTAAAATAGGTAATGTTATTAAAATGTTTAACTTGGTTTTTTATGTTATATACACACACACACATTTTCGTGTATTTTAAGCAATGTCTACGGAATTTAGAATATATCTCTTTATAAAATTGTAGAAAAACAAGCACTACCATTGTAAAAAACAGTAAAAAACATGTTTTATCAATTCCTTTCTTTCTGGGACTAATGCTAAAGGTGTTGGATTCCCAAACTTAGAAAAAGGTAATTGCTATCTTCCTTGATAAAGGATATCGCCTCGAAATTGGAAAACGTCACATCTGCTGTTTAGGTTTAATTCATTGTGAGCTAATACCGTAATCTTTCTACGGATGTGGTTATCACTAATCCAGATTTTAATTCTCAAGAGAACTATGATTAGTATATTATTAGTAAATGTGCAGGTTACTGCTACACAGCATTCTGCACAAAAACTCATCGAATCATGTTGTTGGTACTTTTTTGTGTCTTCGTGAGTGCTTTGGCACTCCCAGAGTCATCATATGACAACTTTAACGAAACTCACTGGAGTCCGCTAGAGGGCGGTAAATATAACTTATTAAATCTTTTAAAATCTTTTATTATAAAACCTATAGTTTAAAGTTCAACGTACATTTACATTAAGATTATAAATAAGGACATGTTATTATTTTAAAACTAAATAAAATCTTTCTAGAATGGTGTTTTGATAATGAATTCGTTTCTTTGTTAAGAAACTCCATAAGAAATGAATTTTACGATTATTTGCAGCTGAGTTAGATGCTATGAAAACATTATTCTTATATAACGTTCAGTTGTATGATTTACAGAGTTTGTTCCTAATTGTCGAACGAAAACTGAAATATCTTAACCCTTATATTTTGGGTAGACGTTTTTTACATTTTATCTTGGTTTTGCTTTACATCAGAGCTCTTTGAAGGAGATATCAAGCTGTTGCCAAGCCAATACGATGAGGTATGATATTCTTATACGTATTTAATAATATGTATATATATTTCAAAGCATAAATAGAAAAAAGTTAAATAAATGCAAAAGATAGTTTATCGTTAATGCAAATTCTGATTTGTAGAAAAATAGAAAAGTATTTGTTATTTATCGATGACCATGATGTAAATTAGTACAATCATTAATCTATCAACTGTAATACACAGTAAGCAGATGTTGCATACCATACAGTAAACAGATATTTCTCATGTTTTAATAACTTCTTTTACTAAAGGGTATAGTATTTTAAAATAATTTCTTGTCACAGAAGAAACACGTAATGACAAAACGTAAAGAATTCTCTTCTGTAGACGGCCTAGCCTTTTGAGTCTACTACCAATGTTCAAACTCGAATATTTGAAATTGTAAATAGCTGTGTAATTAGAGTTATTAACCCTTAAAACATTGTATCAGTCTTGTCTCTAAACGTAGTGCGTTATTATAAGTCCTTTTATTCATCTTGTTTTTATAAGATAGGTATTAAAATTATACTATTTCAGGCAAATAGTTCTAGAAATTACACGTCATAATTAAATTCAACATAATCATAACCAGGCTTCTGAATAATTATCTTTGTTATTGTATCCCAGCATTATTTATTCCTATATCAGGTGTGTTTATTTCTGGAAATTTGTTAGGTATTCTAGTGATATATATAATCTCTATTCAAATAATATTATAGCTAAAATACAGTTGTTTGCTGCTATGGCCATATAATGTAAGTTAATTATTGCTCAGTTACTGATAGCTCGTCATTATTTTACAGAATCGAAATGCGCTACTAAACAGAGCTAAAAGATGGACAGGAAAAACTGTTTACTACCAGATCAGTTCCACTTATTGTAAGTATAATAAAGTAAGTTACTTTCTGCGTTTGCTCAAGATGATTATTTATTACTTTTTTTTCTCACTTGTAGCTTTGCTCCCATTGGCTCAACTGTAAGCTCGAAGGCTTATAACGATAAGATTATGGGTTTTGATCCCTGAGGTAAGCACAACGTAGATAGCCCATTGCCCGTTATGCAGCTTTGCGATTAAATTAATAAGTAAATTTGTAGCTTCGACTTCGGCACAACCATTTTTCATTTTTATCTGGAAACACATGACACATAAAATCAGATTTCGACACTCATGTTGGATACAACACAGATAACCCATTGTGCAGCTTTGTGCTTAACAATAAACAAACAAATAAGTGTTTTTTTATTTGAAACTTGGTCACCTTTCTTGTTCCTTTCTACTACAGTTTCGACACCCTTTTCTTTTTATATGTAACTCCTGCTCAACCCTTGTGATTTTTGTTTGTAGATTCCAACGTTCCTTGTTCTTTTTTATTACAGTTTCGACACCCTTTTCTTTTTACATGTAACTCCTGCTCAACCCTTGTGATTTTTGTTTGTAGATTCCAACGTTCCTTGTTCTTTTTTATTTGTAGCTTCAACACAAATTTTGTTCTATTTTATTTATAGTTTGGACATACCTCTTGCTCTGCTTCTCATGCTTTTTACAATATATTCTTTTTCGTGTGGAGCTTCTTTCTAGCATCATTTGTTCTCTAGGATATTAAAAACACCATTACTTTTTAAGCTTTGGTCAAACTGTAATTCTTTTTTCTTTTGTCAAATTCGTAGAGATTATTTTATCTAATGGTTTAAGATAACACTTTTTTCTTTTATATATCTTCTAAATTACGCTATCCTTTAAAGTATCAATACAACCCTTGTTCTTTTTCTTATTGGTAATTTTTGATGTAATGTGTTATTCTTTTTCATTTGTATATTCGACAAAACCACAGTGTTTCTAATTTTGTCATTAAACGTATATTTTTCCCTTATTTTTGACAGCCCCTTTATTTCTATTATTTACAAGTTTTTGTCTTATTTTTACAACGTGCTTATTCAACAACAACAACAACATTTTCATCTGAAGCACAACACGGCTATTGACATTTTCCTTACAGCTTATGCAAAATAATTTGTATAGCGTTTCTGTTTCATCCTTCGTTTTCGACACAATGTTTTTTGTTTTGTTCGTAGTTCATGTGAATTTGTTTTTTTTTTAGTTTGTAAGAAATTACTTCCATTCTTTTTTCACCTTCACGAAGATAACATTAATTAATCTTAACTATAGAACAAAGAAATCTCACTTTCATTGGTTTATAACTTGTAAGGACTTTATCTTTATTCCTTTGTTCACTTCGACGAACATGAAATTAATTCCTCTCAACTACAAAACAAAACAAAATTCACTTCTATGTGTTTTTTCGTAGTAGATAAGCTTATTTCTATTCTTGGTTTACTTCCATGAACATGAAATTAATTCCTCTCAACTACAGAACAAATAAAATTCACTTCTATGTGTTTTTTCGTAGTATATAAGCTTATTTCTATTCTTTGTTCACTTCCATGAACATGAAATTAATTCCTCTCAACTACGGAACAAAAAAATCTCATTTCTATCTGTTTTTTTTTTTGTAGTATGTAAACTTATTTCTATTCTTTGTTCACTGCTATGAGCACAAAATTAATTCTTTTCAACTATAGGCCCCGCCAGTGACAAAGTGGTAAGTCTGTGGACTTATAACAGTAAAAACTAGGATTTCCATACCCGTGGTTGGCACAGCACAGATAACCTATTATGTTGTTTTGTGCTTAACTATAAACAAGCAATGCAACTACAGAACAAAGAGATTTCACTTTCAATTATTTGTATTTTGTAAGATAATTATTTCTATTCTTTTTTCCACTTCCAGAAACGCCCCCTGGCGGGACAGCGGTAAGTCTCTTCAGATTTACAATGCTAAAATCAGGGGTTCAATTTCCAGATAGCCCGATGTGGCTTTGCTATAAGAAAACACCACACACACTTCCACAAACATAAATTCAATTTCCTTCATTCACAGAATAAATAAATTTCACTCTCATTTTATTCATATTACATGTATGCCTTTTATACTTTGCACTTTCATACAAATTTTCCCATTTTTCAGCCTCTAGTCAACGCAATTTGATTCTACAGGCAATGGAAGAATACCACAAAAACACGTGTATCAGATTTATTCAAAGGACAAATCAACAAAATTATCTCAACATTTATCCAGATAGCGTGGGGTAAATATACTTTGATCGTTAATACTATTCCAAAGTACTCTATATGGCAAGTTATTAGATATATTTCCTAAAGAAGTTTCAGTGAAACGTCTAAATGGATTTTGGTGAAAGGATTAATTGCTAAATTTAAGTAATTAGTTCGAATAATAATAATCTTAATAACATTTGTCATTTTTAGGCTAATTATAGTATAAACTTGTGTGTTCAATAGTGTGTTTTCATTCAGCTCTCTTTTATATTTCCTAACCACAGTAGCATATTTTTAACCCTGTTTTTACAAATCGCCTTTTTTGTAAAGCTTTACAACCACAATTGTATTACACATACTGAAAAGCCAAGACAAAAAACACCCGAAGGTTAAATTTAAAGTCATTTGTTTGATATTTGACAAAAGTTTCTTTTTTGAAGAATCATTTCTCATATTTATGAAAACATGATAACATAGAAAATTCCTTGCTTTAATATGTCAGTTTTGTAATTATTTTTCAATTTTTAAATACTTTCAAAGATGATTTTATAAATAAATTAATCTATATTTCTACATTTTCTCAACCATTAAAGATACTTCTTACTAATTGTAGAGAAAGTTGTATCTCGACAGGACCTTAATAAGTTTAAACGAATACCATATGACGGTGGTGTCACGTGAATAGAGACTGGTTGTTTTTGTAATTTATTAAACGACTTTTCGTCATTGTTTTTGATGGGAAGTTTGGCTTTTAACATAGGAGGTAAAAAAGTAAGCAAATATAAATGTTGCTTTTATTTGTTTGTTTCAGAATTTTTGCGCGAATTTTCTCTACCTAGCCGTGCCTATTTTTAACTGATAGACAAGAGGAAAGACAGCTAGTCCAAAGCACTCGCCGCAAACTCTTGTGATTTGACCGTCATTCAATTTATATTTACGGCTCCAAAGCGCGGTGCGCACTTTTTTGAGCAAGTATGAATCTTCTAATTCATACTCCGAGTACATTAATCACTAGGGCATGACTGGCCCCAAATATTTCTGCTTATGATAATTACCTTCCTGAAAATTACAATAATTAATTGCAATAATGTTAATTATTTATTTAATGTATTAACCAGCTAGATTCAGTTCCCACTTACGTACTGTTAATCTTACTTTATTTGAATTATTTGCATAAGCTAATGGCAGCATTATTTCACAAAATTAATACAAAACCAAAAGCAAAGCTTTTGTCACAGACATCACAACTAACAAAATAATTGGCCAATCACAGTTTAATATATTGTCGAGTAATTTCAAGAGCTTGTTTGTAATTAAACACAAAGCTACACAATGGACTATCTGTGCTCTGCCCACCACGGGTATCGAAACCCGGATTCTAGCGTTTTAAGTCCGCAGACATACCGCTGTGCCACTGGGGGGCAAGAGTAATTTCAAAGGAAAGTGTCCACAGAAGTATATAACACAATATAAAAAAATGGAACAAAAATATTTTCCATAAACTTTCCATCAACTATATTAAAATTACTTTATTTATAGAAGTAAAATTATCATTAGCAAGAACATGGATATTGATGGCAGTGGAGAACTGTCAGTTGCAAAAAGTTATTCTCGTCTCCATTCATTCTTCTTTAATTTTAATTGTACTTTGTTATACATGTAGAATATCTAATTCACTATTCATCAAAGTTTGATGGTCATTCAAAATGACACTATATTTTCAAACTACGCCTACACCGTCAATGCAGTGGCCGTACACTTCCAATTATCCTGTCAACACTGTAGCATGACAAGGATTTCCTTGTAGACATGAGAACGATTTGCTTGTTTGTTACTCAGCTCAAAGCTAAACAGTGGGCTAGTTGTGCAGTGCCTATTGGGGGGTTTCGAAAACCGATTTTTAACGCTGTAAACCCATTGTCTTACCGCCGTTCCAACGTGGGTGCATAAGACAAAACTCTAACGGCTGAAAAATGTAATAAGTCGAAACTCTTAACATTTAGAGCTATTAAGGGGTGGGTGAATGTTAGATGCACTATATTTAATAGCTATAATGCAAAGAAATTAGTCAAGGAGTAGATCCTCTAATGACACCCCTGAACGTCCTCATTCACAAACTGAAGGCTATTAATACAGAAGGAAACCCTCTGACCCACAACGCCATTGCAATTAAGCTGAGTATATCTTTTGGAACTGCTAACGAAATGAAAAAAAAAAAGGTTTGACGTGGAGAAAGGTATATTGAGATCCACACCTCAGGAGAAAGGTATATTGACATCCACACCTCAGGAGAAAGGTATATTGACATCCACACCTCAAAATCAACGGTTGATTTGGTTTGTTTTGAAGTTCACACAAAAACTACTCAAGGGCTAGGTGCGCTAACCATCTCTAATTTAGCAGTAATAGACTAGATGGAAGGCAGCTAGTCAACACCACCCACCGCCAACTCCTGGGCTACTCTTTTACCAACGAATAGTGGGATTGACCGTCACATGATGACGCCTCTATAGCTGAAAGCATGTTCGGTGCCGGGAATTTGAACTCGCAGATTGCGAGTCTAGCGCCCTAAACACTAGGCCACGCCAGGACTTCAAAGACTGGTTTCATGAGAAAAATAGTAGAAAAATCTAGAATCACAGCAATAACTCACTATGTCGTATACCTGTCTAGCCCCCTGTACACATTTTTTGTGCCTTTGGTCTGTTTAAAAATGGTCTCGTGAAACTAACCGAACCACATGAAAATATCACAACAAAAAACCCTCCATGTCTGCGTATTTACAACGCTAGAAACCGGGTTTCGATAGCCGTCGTGAGAAGAGCACAGAAAGCTCATTATGTTACTTTGTGCTTACCTACACACAAACAAACAAACATCACAAAAATTATATTTCATATTTAATTCGTAAGACTAAGAGATGTATTTTGCATGTTTTGTTTTTTCTAGTTGTTGGTCATATTTTGGAATGATAGGCGGCGGTCAAAAACTTTCACTTCAAATTCCAGGGTGCATGTATAAAGGACTCATCATGCACGAGCTAATGCATGCTCTGGGTTTTACGCACGAACAGTCGCGAGCTGATCGGGACAATTACGTCACAATTAATTGGGATAACATTTCAGAAAGTAAGTCTGCTTTGTTATTAATAATTATCAATTTTACAAATATTAAGATAAAATTAATTGAAAGAAATTATTTAATATGTGAAACGCAAGCTGTAAAAATGCACGTTATATAGATTCGGTTAGAATTTATTATTTAAACCACATGAAGCTTTGTACTGAAGAAGCTGTAAAGCGAAACATTGAGTGTCCAATTAAAATAAAACAATTTTATAAGGTCGTTTATTTCTAGTATTAAAATAATCACTTATCATGTTAAGGAAAATGTGCTTAATTTAAAACACAGAACTTGTATGAAGAATTTTCTGATTCCTTTATGTACAGGAGGAAGTAATGGTAATTATGAATCTCACAATACAATTAAAGAAACCGGATCTGTATCACTCTGTTTGGTTACTTTACCTTATAGGAAGGATTCTTGAAACCTTTCATTCATTCCTAGCTAAAATGTTATGTTTAAATCTAAGTTGTTTGCTTTGCTGTTGGTACAAAAGTTAAAAGAAGTGTTAAACGATCTGAGAAAAATTAACTCTAACTGCGTATCACCAAACACTACTCTGAAGATAGGATATATTTTACCTAATATTGAGCTTCTTAAGCTTTCAAACTATTCGTTAACTACACTACATTTCCGTCCAAGAACATACAAACTTAACACTTCCGAGAGTGCTTGTGCATATTATCTCCATTTTATCACTCACATCTTGGAGTTTATTAGTAGAATTTTATAGCATATAGTTGTCGCAGTCTTCCATCATTTATAACAGATACTCAACAGTATGCAGATATACATCATAACAATGCTTTAGTTGCTCTGAAGTTTCAACCAGTATATAATATTTGATCCAACAATTAAAAGAGGGTTTTACGTGTCTGATACTGACCTTATCTTAGTTTCACCAGAACTTTATAGTCGTTATACTGACATTCCAGTAACTAAGTTCTTTGAACGTAGTTAACAAAGTCATTAAGTTTTTCATTAGTGATCATGATGTTGTCAACCAACTTCAAAATTTTCATTCTAATCTCTCCTATTCTGGACATTACTATATCAACCGACACAATAAAATCACCAATTTACTCTTAGACAAACCTATTCGCTGTGACAAACCATCTTCTGTGGAGTTCTTTACATTCGATAGTGTTTGATGATACAGAGTAAGAGTTACTCGTTGCCAGGAATGACAGTTACAAAGATTATGTACCAAAGACGAAAGTTTAATTTAATTGAAGAATGGACGCCTTTCAACTCGCAAGAGAGTTCAAACAAGAACAATTATTGTTTAACTCATGAACACCTCGCATTTCAAACTGACATGATTATCACAAGAAGTACAAATTGTGTCTGGTGGTTTCTGAACTCAAACATACTTTACTAAGTCTCTCTCCTGGCTCTCCTGCTGAAAATAACAACTTGAAAAGTATTCCTTATAACTGGTTTAGAGCATATCTTTATACAAGTATATTCAGGTTTTTTTACTAAATTTTCACGCAAAGGTCGCAAACATCATCACACTCCTTATATTATTTTACGTTCAAATATTTTTGCTTTCTTCAGCACGCAATCTTCTATTCCTCCATCAATCTGGTTGTCCAGATTGTGGCATTTTAGAGCACTTGAGTGGTATCTCTTATTGGTTTTCCACCAGCAAGGAAGTTGCTTCTCTCCTTTTTCGTAATATCGTATCCTACTACTCTCTTTTCAACTTCCGATGGAGATAAACTGACCAAACTCTAAATATTGACAACATTTAATTTTTTGTACAACTATTTTCCCATATTTTTCAAGTATCGAATACTGGTTACAATTGTTTATTATTTGTGTACATTTTCTGTTAAAACTAAGAATACTCACCAACTTTGATTGATAACTAAATGTCATTACCTAGAAGCATAAACCGTTATCCTGTAACGTTTCATTATTTGGAAACATTCATCCTTTCGTTTATAATTTATTGAAATCTGTTACTAAAAAAACTAATAATTTCTGGTCCGTGTAATCAGTACTGTTTAGAGGATTGTAAGAATACTTCCCAGAACACATTTTAAAAAATCTCGAAATTTGAAAAGAATTCATACAACCACCCAAGTTTTCTTATTAGATTTGTTGATGATGCTAAATTGGATTATGCTATTATAACATGAGGCATACATGCTTTAGCACCAAACAGTAGTAAGCAAGAATAGTGTTATTTCGACATTTAGGTGACTTACGATTCATAATTGGTTTATTTCTGATTGATGTGAGATTGCGAGTACATTATGAAATAATGTTCATCCATTTTGTAATAAAATATTTTTTTTATGTAAAACGCACAAGAGAATTACAAACATTATTTCTGTTCCCTTGCATTGTTGGTAAACGTTGTATACGCGCTGATAAGTACCGCTCTCACAAATTGTATAATATGTTCATGTCACGTTGTCCATTTTACAGATCAAAAATACAACTTCAACAAGTTTACTCTAAGCTACATCGACCACTTAGGAGAGAGCTATGATTATCGTTCCATTATGCATTATCATGCTTGGAGTTTTGCCTTGAATCGTAATTATCCGACTCTGACCCCAAAATTGTCTGGTTTTACTCTGAATGACCTAGGAGCAGGCCAGCGAAATAACCAGTTCACTGCCACGGACGTCAGAAAGATTAAAAACTACTACCAGTGCTGATGTGTGAATAATAGCTGCCAAAGTTTTCAGTGCATTTGAGATTGACTACATTAGTTTCAAAATGACCCAATAAATATCAATAAATTATAAAATAAAACTAGTTCTGGAAAAAAGTTTTAAAAAGTCCTAAAAATCTCACTACTCCAAACCATGGTATTAATGTTTTAAAATTTCTGTACTCCAAAGAATGGTATTATTGTTTTAAAGTCTCTCTACTCCAAAGAATGGTTTTTTTATTTTAAAATCTCTGTATTGAAAAGCACAGTCTTATTGACCAGACTTATTTCACTATAATATATTTAATGAGAAAAAATGGTTTCAGATACTTAAAACATTTAAAACTTTAACGAATTCAGTTCTGGAAAAAAAAATAAAGTCCTAAAAATCTCACTACTCCAAACCATGGTCTTATTGTTTCAAAGTCTTTTTACTCCAAAGAATGGTCTTATTGTTTTAAAATTTCTGTACTCCAAAGAATGTTCTTATTGTTTTAAAATCTCTCAACTACAAAGAAGGGTCTTTTTATTTTAAAATCTTTCTACTCCAAAGATGGTCTTTTTATTTTAATACCTCTGTATTGAAAAGCATGGTCTTATTGTTTTAAAAGACCAGTATTCTATTATAAAGTGTCTAATGAGTTAAAACTTTAACGAATTCGGTTTTTGTATAACAAATCCTGCTGAGCATTAGATAGTATACACATAAATAAAATAATTTAAACTGAAAAATCCTCCATTCATCACAGTAAGAAACATAACTATATTATCTCAGGAACTGTCTCAAATCCAGCATGGATAAACATTATATCTTTAAAAAAATAATTTTGACATCTGGACACAAGCTATTATTTATTTGTATTGCTAAGGAGCTAAAGGTAAAAAAAACAAGAAGAAGAAGAATACAAAACTGGCACAGTTTAAATAACTTCACAAGAAAATATTCTTTATTAATCAAAATTAAAATAATAATAATATTCTTTGATTATTTTTAATTGACCTATAATATTAGGCCATTAAAGAAAGATATTACTAAAATTCCTATCGGTCTTATTGGGATTTAATGATTAAAAGATCACGTGTTATATACCCTAAAGCTTCATGTCTCGTGCTCAATAACGACTGGAATAAAAACAGATGCTTTTGCTAAAGCATAGTATGTTGTAATCTATTCAACCTGATCATTTCAACAATTGAGCTTCGTTGACAGTGGTGCATCGAACTTGATGATTTCAACAATTGAGCTTCGTTAAGAGTGGTGCACAATTAAGGATGAAGTTTGGAACTGGGAATGCGTTTTTCGTTTATTTCCAACATTCTGATTTGGTAACTGCAGTGGTATGATGGGATAGTTTAGTAGATGATTTATTTGCTTCCTAGACTAAGAAAGAAAAGAAAAACAGCCTTTTAAAACGCTCAAAGACTTTATTTCCAAACCCCTCCCTTTTCGATTTAGTGAAATTAGTTTTTGTACAATAACTTATATATATATATATATAGCAATACTTTTGTAGCAACTAGTGATATCATTTCGCGAAATTCTTGAGGGGATGGTAAAACCACTTAAGGAGGCTTATTATAAATTTCCATTGTCTATTTTACATGAACAAATTACAGTTATTTAAACCTGATTCCTGAGATTAGCCATTCTGCTGCACATTAGTTGGTAAGTATGATATACATGAAAATATCTGAAGAGACTACGTTTCTGCATAATGGTGATATAATTAATTATTTTGAGAGAGAAAAATAATGATTTATGTCAGGGTTTTATGTATATGAGTAGGATTGGATTTTTTTACAGTAGGTGTCTGTGACTTATTGGCGATAAATTCGAACAATAAACAGACAGCACCCAATCCACTTGCTTTAAAATAATATATATTCAAAACAAGTCAAACGTATTTACAAAAATTCTTTACACTATGGAATATAACAGTTGTATATAAAATTCTAAATAATTCTCTATTCTTGTCAAAAGTCCACTTAGGCTGATTCAATTACTTTAGAATCCAATTGACAAGATGAACTATTTTTCTCTACTCTTATCACAATAGTATCAGTGAATAATTCACTTACGCTACTCTGTGGGCTACCACAGTTGTATCCTGAACTTCCAATAATTGTCTCCTTTTCTTCAAAGTCCACACATATGTTGTATTTGTGAAACGTACAATTGTCTTGTTTTCCCCAATTGTGTAATTGTAGAGTTTTACCAAGTACCGACGGTTTTAAGTATCAATTATATATTACTTAAAATGGTACTTGTTATATTGTCACTTAGATATAGTTTGTACTAAATATGACAAATTAAGTCTGTGGGTTGTATATGAACCTTACAGCAAGAGCATTATCCGTGCCATGTCTGATGAAACAAGCTCGTGGGTTGTTTTTAAATGTTATCTGTGTTAGTTATGACGAAAATATAGCAAAATACATTATTATTTGAAGATTTCTAATATTTCACTCTATCTTCAAGAAATGTTAAAGTCTACAGGAAAAACAAGATTAAATAAATATCTTTACCTCAGTATTGTGAGAACATCTTAAAACATAATGAGCGTAAACATTTAAAAATATTCCATTGAAATTGTATTAAATATAATACAAGGACCAAGAGGCATAACTGTTCCGATTTTAAAACAAGTTGAATTTGCTCGTTATTATGGAAGCTTCTATTTAATTTCCTTTATTATAATATCCATGCCTAAGCGACTTCTAATTAAAAGTTTACAATTACATAAACTCCAGGAACATTAGTTTCATTCTGTTTTTCGACTGAAGGATAGAAGGGTGGTACTTATCTTCACGTATTTATCAACACAAAATTCTACGCTTTTAATTACCAGCTAAGTGTTATTTCTCTAACATCTGGTGTTGATTTGAAAAAACAAACTGCTGTTCGAAGAAATAAAAATATCTTGAAAAATCGCGTGGTCAACTGCACAGAGCATAAACCATAACTGACGTATTGTAAAAATTCCGAGACATTTGCTTAACTTAACACAAACCACATGCATACGTTTAATGAAACGCTGATGATCCACATGTATTAACATGAAAACGTTTTGCTCTGTGAGCTTCTATTACTTAAAAAAAATGTGGAGATTTTTGTGTATGGGGGCAGGGCTATTAAATACATAAATTATAAGGATTAAACTTTAAGAAACAATGTTTCTAATACTCTACAGCCGCATTTTAAAAAAACTATTATTTGTAATAACGATAAACAGCTATAACTGTTATTCCTATTCGTGATTTTTAAGGCTTATTATTTATAAGCAACTGCTTCTGTTGGTCATGCGCAAGAGATTACATTGTTCGTTTTCTATCTCACTGGTACGTAAAGACGGTGCCAAAACTCATAACCATCGGCGGGATAGTGGTAAGTTGACTGACTCACAACGCTAAAATCCAAGGTTCGACTCCCTTTGGTGGGCACGGCAGATAGGCCAATGTAGCTTTGCTCTAAAACAACCACTTAACCAACCAGAACTCATGTTGTCGCAAAAGTTAAATAAAGAAAACATAACATTGTGGTCTTGATCACTTTGTAGGAATGAAACTTTTTGCTGATGCACATGTTTTCATAATTATTTTAATGACAACAAATTCAAAAATATGGGAATAATCACATTTTTTTTTTTGTAAATTTATGAAGTTGTTATACGTCGTATTGAATATCCTTAGCCCCCTATGTTATAACCTTGGATGTATAGTATCAGCACGCTAGCCACAAGGCCCCGTTGTTCTTTGTTATCTAAGTAAAGCACGAACTATTATGTTTCCCAAAAATTTAAAAAAAAAGGGAAATTCATCTCTGGCACCGTTTCCTTTCATAGTTCTCACTTCCTTTCAGAGATTACTATTTTCATCCAGAGTCACTCTCAATCTTAATCATCATCTTTATATCAAACTAAGATAGATAATTTAGAATTTAGAATTGTGGGTACAGACTTTATTGGAGTATGAATATGTGGCTGCTTACTCTATAACAAATACGTTTTATTTCTCAATAACAGTAATACTAATCGCACTCACAGTGTCTTATTCCGTTCCTCTTATCTCCTACAGAATATCCAGCAAAAAATAAAAGAAAGAAAAAACGGATTTTAGTCAATTCTTTCACTTAAAAGGAAAGTTTCTAATTGTACATCCTTTTCAGCATAGTTTTTACTGGGGGGACATACTACACACCTGACACTCATAGTTTTCTACTGTAAGAACTTACCATGTTAAGACTCTTGACATCCCCGTTATCACTATCGACACTGTTCGTGTTTAATTGGCTTACGGACTACCAAGGATAAAGAAGGAATTATTCTTAAATATTCCTGTATTTTGTTTGTTTTGTAGTTATGCACAAAGCTACACAATGGGCTATCTGTGCTCTGCCCACCATGAGTATCGAAACCCGGTTTCTAGCGTTGTAAGTCCGCAGACATACCGCTGTGCCACTGGGGGGGGCTCCTGCATTTTTTGCTCCATTTCTTAACCAAGTATGTTTCTTTTTCTTTTCTTTTTTGGTTGGTTTAAATATTTTAAGAACTTTAAAGAGCGTTGTTGTTTATTACTAATTCATAAGTTAGCTGTCCCTAAGGCCAACTTTCCTCAATATCATATTATTGTTGTTGCTTATAATTGCAACATTGTGAAATATCGTATTTTATTAATATTAGTTTAAATGTAGTTAATCCTGAGGTCAACATTCAGGAACATCATACTAGCTGAGGGTATCCGTTAAAGAAACAAAAACTGTATAAAGGACAGTGTTAGATAATGTTCACTTTCCTTCTTTCTTTTTTTAATAACTCCCTAATGACCTCATTAAATGCTGATTACATACTCTGCTTTGTGGAAGTAAATATTTGACTCACTTAATTGATTAAGTAGTTGTGTCTTTAAATTCAAAGCCAGAAGTCTATAAAAAAGTAAAAATGGCCCCTTATTAGGCTAAAATCCTAAAATAGAATAGTCTATATACACCATCGGACAGTTTCCAGTTGCTGTACAAAAAAAATAACGGTAATCGAGCCAGCCAACTCTGGGTGATGTGAGTCAAAAGTGTATATAAAAAAAGCGGAAATATGACCTATTTCAGGGGCTTTTTATCCCGCTTCTCGGACAAAAATCCTAAAATAAGATAGCCTATGTATAGTTTCCACTTACCGTAACAAAAACTGGAAAAAAATCAACGTTATTAATATTAGTTTAAAGGTAGTTCTCCTTATAGTCAACATTGTGAAATATTTCAACAAACAAAATATTCTAGAATACCATATTT